TGCATTCGCCAGAATCCAAAGTCGGAACCATTGAACCGTTCGACTTGAATCTTTCCCTCCATCTTATCTCCAACCTCCTGGCTCTGATACCAGTTGTTGGGAAATAAGGCCAGATAAGATGGAATAACAACAACACACCAATGTGAAATTAATAAAAGACACGAAGATATTGTTAACCCAGTTCGGATAAAATCCTACGTCTGGGGGCGAACCAAGCCAGGAGAATAAACTAGAAGAAGAGGATAAACCGAATGTTACAAAAAAAAAAAATTAACCCAAATGAAATAAAATTGTAGCTAATGAGTAGCTATATAAAGAAAATCCGATTGATTATGACTGCTTACCAATCACTCCTTTAAAGTCCAACGAAGATCAAATTTTGATGTTCAGGTCCCACTTCAACCCAACTAGATCTTCTCTACTGTAGCATACCACATATTTTGCCTCGTCTCGTCTTTCTCCTTCTCGTTGTCTCTGCCTCCTCTCCGCCACATTATATTCTTAACTGCCGATTAGATTATAGTCAAGTTCTCGTCCTCTTCCGACGTGGTGCTTCTCCGAGCTTTTGGTGGCCATGGTGGGTCTGTTGGGGTTCCGTCGGCGGGGTGCTTCGTCCATCGACGCCGAATTTGTCCTCGGCGGGTATGTCAATTTTAGTATTTAGTGTTGTGTCTATAGGTTGTGTTTTGTATAGTTTATTGTTTTGTTGTTTTGTTCTGCTTTTTAGAAGATTAAATTCTCCATTTGTGGAAGTTGTGTACTTTGTTGTATTGTGAGTTTTAGTGAGTCATATTTAGGCTACCTCTATGCAGTCCTTCCTCCCACTAGATTTAGTTGGGTGATTGTTTAGCTATTTATGGCTAATGTGTAAATGTAATTATACTTTTTTTTTTTTATAAACTTCTATCGCGCGACAAAAAAAAAAAAAAAAATGATTTTTAGCAATTTTTCTAGATTTGGAGCTACTTGTATTTAGACTAGAATTTCGTGGTTTATTATTAAATTGTTCATATGAGTTTGTAGGGGTGGCAAATCCTGCCGTGTTTTTATTTTTCTAATGAATTTTATTTTTCTAATTAATTTTAATAAATATAATTATTTTTTATTATTATAAATATAAATATAATTTATTTATTTCAAATATACAATATGGATGTCAAATCGAAAATTATCAAAAGATGATTAATTTGATTTATTATATATGTAAAACCGATAAGAATACAAAAGTTATCAACTTTTAAAATATATTTACAATTCAATAACTAATTGAAGGAAACAAATCAAAAGTCAGGGATATATTAGTCACTTAGTGTCTCATCTATACTTATATTAAAAGCTATACTATTACTAAATGTAGTATGTAGAATAGTCAACTCTAATTAATAATTTGCTATTTTTATCAAGCATTTAATTAATGCATCTAATATTTTTGGCATGCAAATCAAATTAGCATTTAATTAGTTCCTAAAATATTGGGTATGCAATATTAATTTAGGAATATCCGTATAGTTCTTAAAATGTTGGTATGCAATACGTAAAAGAAGATTTTTTAATTTTTTTTTTAAATATAAAATATTGCAACACGTAAAACTATTCCAGTTATTTTTTATTTTATTTTACATATAAAATCTAATCAATATTTAATGTATCCTACAAAATTAGATTTAGTTTAATTCTCCATACAATTGGCTGTAACTTTTTCAGTTGTACTTTTTTTATTTATTTATTTTATACTTTTAAATTAGTGAAGCTCTCCGAAAATACCAAATCAAAAAATTTATGAAAGTAAAAAAAAAAATAAATCTATATAACCAGCTTAAAAACTCATCGCATAGATATGGACGAGTTTAAGAAAATTTCATAACCCAACTTATAAAATTTCATCTCCACGAGTCAAAAGAATCACATCCATCATCTATCGTAACAACTTTAAAGGTAAATAAATAAAAGTCTAATTACTAATAT